GTACGGGGACACACACTGGTCATAAGCTCCTGAGCTGGGCGCCAGCAGGAGACGGCTGGCCTGTGGGTGTCAGGCTTGACTGCCCTGAGTTCTTGAGACATTGCTCTTGCCACCTACAGGGAGTGACTGGGTCCAGGCTGGGCTGGGGTGGGCAGCCAGCCCTAGAGAGCTCACGGCAGCCCTTGTACTCTCCTGACCTCAACTCCTGGTGTTGGCTTTGGCGCATTCTGCCTGGCCGGGGGTCCCTATCATATTGGCTGCTTCCAGAGCCAGGCTGGGAGTCCCCAAGACTTGGGTGGTCTTTGCTTTCCCTGGAATCCTGGACTGAAGATCTGGAGTTGGAATTCGCCTAGCAGGACTGTCCTGTTTCACTTTTCCAAGTTCCTGCTAAGGAGGGCTACTCCTGCTGGTTTGTGGGCGTCCAAGGGACCCCCTGGCCAGGCAGGGTCTCACCAGCTCAGGTGGGCAGTGCTGCATGGCAGCAATCTGAATGCAGGTCTGCCCTCTGGCTGTGGTGGCTTCATGCTGTCCTGGCGTCCAGTCTCTGGGTACCTGTGCAGCCCCTGCCTGCGTCCTGTCCTGGCATCCGGTCTCCGGGTACCCGTGTAGCCCCTGTCCACATCCTGGGCAGTGCCAGGCACACAGAAGTGAGTGACATCTGGCCGCTGCCTAAAGGTTCTGAGCCAACCAAGTGTTCTCTCCAGACCTCGCTCCTTCCTGCCAGTTTCACACCCTGAATGATGGCCTGGAAGGACGAGGCCTGTACCACACGCAGGGCAGGCAGGGCGGCCTGAGACCCGACGAGCTGGGAAGGCTTGCCTTCTCAGGACTTTGTACGATGGCTGATAGATAAACTGCTTGCTGGCTTGCTCGCGCTCTCGCTCGCTCTCTCTCCCCACCCCCCTTCTCCTTCCTTTCCTTTCTTCTCTTTTGCGAGTTTTGCTATAGTGTGCATGCACTCACTGGCAAGACAGACAGAAAGTGAGAAATCAGCCCCCAGGGTGGATTGCCTTCTCCTCCATTCTTGGGATCTTGGGCACGCACGCACACATGGCCGGCGTGAGTTTAAGCCACCAAGTCTAGGACTTGAACCATGGTCAACTACATGGGAGTCCAGTGACGTGACCATTACGCCATCTGCTGTTTCCACTGCTCCTTCTTAAAACTGCAAGCTGGGTTTTCTTTTCTTTTTTTCTTTTTTTTGAGGGAGAGGTTTTTGCTATACGGCGCGTGTACTTGCCAGAAAGAGAGAGACAGAAAGGGAGAAATACCCCCCCCCCGCCCCCACAGGGCCCCCCCCCCCCGCCCCCGGGGTGGATGGCCACATTGCAGTCCCTTCTCCTTCATTCTCTTGGGATCTTGAGCATGCACATGCGCCCAGCGTGAGTTTAAGCCACCGGGTGCGGGACTGGAACAGCAGTCGACTACGTGGGAGTCCAACAACAGCCATGCCGCCAGCTGCTGGTCCCGCAGTCTGGGCTTGCTGATCCTGCTCCTGTGACCTGGGGGTGAGCTCCCTGAGTCCGACTGGTGCGGCCTGGTCACCACGTGTGTCCTCTGCTCCTCGCGGATGGGGTGCCCTCCCTTTCAACCCACAAAGGCAATGGAGGGCTGGGCCAGGGTCGGGTGGCTACCTGAGACACCGGGAATGCACTGTGGGACCCGGCAGGACGGGCGGGTGGCAGTTGCCCACCCTCCCACAGGCCTTGCTCAGGCTGGTGGGTGTCTGTCCCTGGGGGCCTGGCCAGGCCACACAGAGCCAGGACAGGGGCCTTCCTCTGGCTCTCCATACTGCTGAGCTGGGGGGAGGGCAGCAGTCCAATTCCCCAGGAATGTTGGGCCTGCCAGATGCCATAGCTGTTTGGGGGACAGCATTTCAAGAACCTCTGGCCCTGATGTTCCAGAGGAGAGTGGATTGTGGACGGGGTGGGCCATGCTGGCCTTGCCTGCCCCAGGTCCACATTTCCTTCCTCTGCCTCCTGCTCAATTTGCCACCTCAAACCAAAATGGGGAACGAGGCCCCAGTCTCTGGCTTCTTGCGACATCTTGGTGACTTGGCTCCAGTAGCATAGAGGCCAGGTGGACTCTTCCTGCAGCTCCTGGAGTCACTCAGGCTCCCTCAGACACCACATTGTCTGGTTCTCCCGGGGGACCTTGGCTGTGCCTGCCGCTGCCCTCCTCCCTTACTGTGTGGCCGTCTTCCCAAGACGTCCGGCCCAGCCATGATGGGCACTGCTGAGACTGCTCTGCAGGCCGGGGCTGCACTGGCCTGGGGTGTTCCTGGTCTCCCCAGTGGCAGGACGTGTGTGTGTTCCCAGTGAGTGAGGAGGCTGTTGCAGGAAGGCTGTGAGCCAGAGGCTGGCCCGGGCACAGAGCAAGACCCTGTCTTTATTATTTTTTTTGGAGAGGTTTTTGCTATAGGGTGTGTGCGCTCACCAGACAGAGAGAGACATAGAGACAGAAAGTGAGAAATCACCACCCAGGGGGGATGGCCATACCGCAATCCCTTCTCCATTCTCCTCTCAGGATCTTAGGCACACAAGCACATGCACCCGGTGTGAGTTTAAGCCAAAAGGTCCGGGACGCGAACCATGGTTGACTACATGGGAGTCCAGCGACATAGCTGTTATGGTAACTGCTGGTCCCAGACCCTGTCTTTAAAGGAAAGATTTCAGCATGGTAGTGAAGGTGCTGGACTCCCACATGGCTGACCATGGTTTGAGTCCTGGACCTGGTGGCTTGCTTTCTCACTTTCTGTCTCTCTCAAGCCCACGTGCCCTATAGCAAATTTAAAAAAGAATAAAATAATTCTTTTTTTTTTTTTTTTTTAGGGGTTTTTGCTATAGGGGGGGGGCACTCCCCAGA